TCCCCCCCAGAGGCGGCCGGCGCCCCCCCCCCCCCCCAGGAGAGGGAAAAAAGATGGCACAGCACCTAAAACAGAAGAGGAAAAGAGTCACTGTAAATCCCTGTTCTTTCTGTGTGACCTCTGCGCTGCGTTAGATTACTGACCTCTGCACGGTGTTACATGCTGACCACTGCACTGCATTACATGCTGGACTGCGTTACTGACCACTGACTGTGTTACATACTGACTGCTGAACTGTGTTACATGCTGACTGCTGCACTGCATTACATTCTGACTGCTGCACTGTGTTAAATGCTGACTGCTGCACTATGTTACTGACCACTGCACTGCAATACATGCTGACTGCTGTATTTCGTTACTGACCGCTGCGCTGCATTACATGCTGACTGCTGCACTGTGTTAAATGCTGACTGCTGTACTATGTTCCTGACCACTGCACTGCGTTACATGCAGACTGCTGCACTGCGTTACGGACCGCAGCACTACATTACATGCTGACTGCTGCACTGCATTACATGCTGACTGCTGCACTACATTACATTCTGACCGATGCACTGCATTACATGCTGACTGCTACACTGCATTACATGCTGACTGCTGCACTCCGTTACTGACCGCTGCGCTGCGTTACATGCTGACTGCTGCACTGCGTTACATTCTGACTTCTGCACTGCGTTACATACCGACCGCTGCACTGCGTTTCATGCTAGCTGCTGCACTATGTTACATGCTGACTGCTGCACTGCGTTACATACCGACCGCTGCACTGCGTTTCATGCTGGCTGCTTCACTGCATTACTGACCGCTGACCTCTGCACTGTGTTAAATGCTGACTGCCGCACTATGTTACTGACCACTGCACTGCGTTACATGCTGACTGCTGCACTGCGTTACATGCTGACTGCGTTACATTCTGACTGCTGCACTATGTTACTGACCGCTGCACTGCGTTACATTCTGACTGCTGCACTGCGTTACTGGCTGCTGCACTGCATTACATACCGACAGCTTCACTGCATTACATGCTGACTGCTGCACTGCGTTAGTGACCACTGACCTCGGCACTGCGTTACATGCTGACTATTGCACTGTGTTATATGCTGGCTGCTGCACTGCATTACTGACCACTGACCTCTGCACTGTGTTAAATGCTGACTGCCGCACTATGTTACTGACCACTGCACTGCATTACATGCTGACTGCTGCACTGCGTTACATGCTGACTGCTGCACTGCGTTACATGCTGACTGCTACACTGCATTACATTCTGACTGCTGCACCATGTTACTGACCGCTGCACTGCGTTACATGCTGACTGCTGCACTGTGTTACATTCTGACTGCTGCACTGCGTTACTGGCTGCTGCACTGCATTACATACCGACAGCTGCACTGCATTACATGCTGACTGCTGCACTGCGTTACTGACCGCTGACCTCGGCACTGAGTTACATGCTGACTGCTGCACTGCGTTATATATGCTGACTGCTGCACTATGTTACTGACCACTGCACTGGGTTACATGCTGGCTGCTGCACTGCGTTACATGCTGACTGCGGCTCTACGTTACTGATCGCTGCAATGCGTTACATGCTGACTGCTGCACTGCATTACATGCTGACAGCTGCACTGCCTTATATACCGACCTCTGCACTGCGTTACATACTGACTAATGCACTGTGTTACATGCTAAATGGTGCGCTGCATTACTGACCACTGCACTGCATTACATACTGACTGTTGCACTGTATCACATGCTGACTGATACACTGCATTACATGCTGACTGATGCACTGCATTACATAGTGACCTCTGCGCTGGGTTACATACTGACCGCTAGCCTCTGCACTGCGTTACATACTGACCGCTGCAATGCATTACATACTAACCTCTGCACTGCGTTACATGCTGACTGCTGCACTGCATAACAGACCATTGACCTCTGCACTGCGTTTCATACTGAACGCTGACCTCTGCACTGGGTTACATACTAACCGCTAACCTCTGCACTGGGTTACATACTAACGGCTAACCTCTGCACTGGGTTACATACTGACCGCTGACCTCTGCACTGGGTTACATACTGACCTCTGCACTGGGTTACATACTGACCGCTCACCTCTGCACTGGGTTACATACTGACCGCTCACCTCTGCACTGGGTTACATACTGACCGCTGACCTCTGCACTGGGTTACATACTGACCGCTGCACTGGGTTACATACTGATCGCTGACTTCTGCACTGGGTTACATACTGACTGCGGACCTCTGCACTGGGTTACATACTGACCGCTGACCTCTGCACTGGGTTACATACTGAGCGCTGACCTCTGCACTGGGTTACATACTGACCACTGAACTCTGCACAGGGTTACATACTGACTGCTGACCTCTGCACTGGGTTACATACTGAGACCATCCGCACCCCTTCTGAGACCTCCACACGCCTCCTGAGACCCTCTGTCCAAGACATAAGGCTGACACCCCGGAGCAGAGCAGCAAAGAGTATATAGCAAATTAATATATTATTATTCTGCATTGCTGTATAATGTATTGCTGGGATTTGTAGTCCTCTATAGCTGATGGTAATATTCTGCATTGCTATATAATGTGCAGAAGCCCATCCCCCAGCCAGTCACCCCTTTCATGGACTGACTAGTGAGTCCTCACATCACCTGACCATTCACACTACCTTAACATGGATGGCAAAAGTGGCAGGCAGGGGCAGGGGGAACAGGCAAAGCGGGAGGTGGGCCACGTCGCTGCACCATGGGCCTCTGGGTTGTACTTGCCCCCTGGGCTAAAAGTTGCCAGTCAGCCCCTGACTTCCAGATCTCCATCCTTGCCCTTAAGCTTTTTAAAATTAGTGAGGGGCTCAATTACCAATTTTCCAAGGCTCATGCCTTTTTTATGACCACCTTTACGATGTTGAGCAAACAATGCACAGTACTTGCAAAACAAACCCTTTTTGGCATTGAATACACTAGCCAAGGAAAACTGTCAATATGTTGTTTTGACAAGTGTCATTTTATTTGCCGAGTCTCTCCATCCTTTGAAATCATGTTCTGAAGAGAGAAAGGTAGTTCATATCCAAGAGGAGGTTGCCACGGATTTTCCAATAGCAAGCATTTGGTGTAGTCATTGATTGTTTTTCCAAGATGTGTGCCAATGTCATTCATTTGGATACTGCTGGTTTGAGGATCTGTTTGACAAGATACTGGCTCTACAAATGTACCAGAACAGGATGGGGGGCTAGTGTCAGTTTCTATACTGGAAGTGTTTTCTAGTGTTGACTGTGCTCCTGATGACTTTTTTGCACTAGTGCTGAAGAAGGAATCTATAGTCCGGCAGTTCACTCTTTTTTGACTCATTTTGATGTTTCTATAATTAAAGCACAAAAGTGCACTCCACATAAATTAATTGACTTTATAGCACAGCACTGCACATTGTTGACATGTACATGTACCATAATTAAACCAAACCAATGTTTGAATACTGCAATAACACTATACGTTGCAATTGTTTGTTATGTATAACAGCAATTGTGCCTTTTTTAACACATCCTGACACTTTTTTGTGCAGGAATGGATCCTCTACCAAACAACAGTTGCACATTGTGTGATTATGATGGGTCTTTCATCCACACTGCACATTACTGTGTGTTTTATTGATGCAGAGTCTGTGGTGCATGCACACAGTGCACATTGCTATGTTTTATTCCTTTGGAGCTTGTGATACACGCAGTCCAGGCGCAGTGTGAAGGATGGAGGGCACAAAACTGAAGAAAGGGGGACCCGGAGGATTGTACGGGCTCTCACCAGGGGTCCAGAGAGTTTCACAGGTGCATCTGGGTGCAGCAGAGGCGGCTCTCTAATTAGGCTCTCAGGTGGCCAATGCGGACTGTCAGGTGATCAGTGCGGGCTCTCTGCTTGTCAGTGCGGGATCTGTGGTGGCCAGTGGGGGCTCCCTAATAATTAGTGGTGGCTCTGTGGTAGCTCCCAGGTGGGTAGTGGGGGCTCCACTGTGGCCAGTGGGAGCTCCCTGGTGGTTAGTGGGGGCTCTGTGGTGGCCAATGGAGGCTCCCTGGTGGTTATTGGTGGCTTCCTAGTGTAGGCTGACCATTCATCCCTTAATGTGGGGACAGTCCCCGGATTGAGGAGACCATCCCTTGACAAATTATGTACCCGAAAATGTCCCTGGGAACATAAAGTAAAACATTTATTTTTTAATACTCACCTGATCCCTGGATCCACCGACAAGCACAGCCTCCCATCTCCCACGCTGTCCGAAGCGGCATATAGCGTGTGCTGGTTACAACTTAAACCGGCGCGCTGTGTGCAGCTTCTGAGAAGATACACTATTAGCATAGCGACGAAGCTGGCTTTGCATTTTGCATCGCTCCCGCAGCGCTAATAGCGTATCTTCTCAGAAGCTGCAAACAGCGCACGCTGGTTTAAGTAGTAACCAGCACGCTCTATATGCAGCTTCGGACAGCGTGGGAGATGGGAGGCTGTGCTTGTCGGTGGATCCAGGGATCAGGTAAGTATGAAAAAAATATATATATATTTTATGTTCCCAGGGACATGTAGGGCTCAATCACACTGGAATCGGCCGACCGACACGTACAGCTCCGTGCTGCGTGCACAGCCGTATCGGGCAGGTCCCGGGAAGGACAGGTGCTGCGTGTGATTAGTACGCAGCCCCTGTCCTTCTCTATGGGAGTACGCGGCCGTACGCTCCCTCGCATGTCCTGTAGAGGTGTCTGGACCAGTGTGATGTAACATACTGGCTCTCGGCACCTCTATAGGGTGTTCAAGGGAGCTGTACAAGAGATCACTGTACAGCAGCCCACACCGAACCTCAGGCTAAGGATCCACTACAGTTCTCGTAAGAATGGGTGGATCTTAATAAAAGAACAAAAATTATTTTTTGGGGAGTGTGTATGTGTGTGTGAGATTGTGGTTGTGTGTTTTTGAGGGCCCATTCACACTAGTACAGTGCGTTAATTGCACAGACCCCAGCAATTACTGAGCTGTACTTTGCAATCGCACCTACCATACGTTTTGGTGTGAGAAGTGCATTGCATTGCCATTCATTTGAATGGCACCCCAAATGCACCTCCCACCCACAGTTCTATTGACCGCATTGGAATGCGCAGTACCGCAATGCTGTGCATTCCATTGCAGTGCAACTTGGATCACAACTTAATGACCAAGGACAAATGTGGGTCCTGAGGTTACACAGGTTGAGAACCACTGCTCTAGACCAACTGTTCCCTTGCCTATGTTTTCCCCTCCTGATCCACCTTCAAATCACCTCATTCTCCAGTGGTGCTTTGTTAATTTAGGAGCCACTTCTGGGCTTGCTTCTATTTTCCCGGCGGTGCCCCTTCTAATCTGTCATGGAGGAAAGACTTGAATGATTTCAAGCCTACACTCCATGGTGGTTCAGGAGGGGTGCTGGCGCACCAAAAGAAGGGAGCACAGAAGCGGGTCTAAAGCCACTGATCCAGCATGGAGGCCTACCACATAGTAATACATTATACAGCAGTGCAGAATACCACCAGCTACAGAGGACTACAAATCCCAGCAATACATTATATAGCAATGCAGAATAATATGAAGCTGCATACTCTGTGTTGCTCCAGGGTGGTGGGCTGTGCGGGGTCTCAGGTGGGCTGTGCGGGGTCTCTGGCAGCCTGTTGGAGACTCAAGTTGGGCTCTGCAGATTTCTAATAACGTTTTTGTTTTATTTATTTTTACTTTTTATCAGTTTTTCTTTTCCATTTTAATTTATTTTATTATTTTACATTTTTTTCACTTAACTTTATTGCTAGCACGCAGGGGCGAACAAGCACCTGTGTGATAGCATTCGGAAGTGACAGGTCCTCCAGTACAGACTCGTGAATTAGAAAGGCACTGGTCTTGGGGCATAGGGAACGCACTGGACTCGAGACATATGGAACGCACTGGATTCGGGACATAGGGAACGCACTGGACTCGGGACATAGGGAACGCACTGGGCTCTGGAAATATGGAATGCACTGGATTTGGGACATAGTGAACGCACTGGACTTGGGACATAGGAAACGCACTGGATTCGGGACTTTGCAACACAGTGGACTTAGGACTAAAACCAGAAGTATACTCACAGACAATACAAACCCCCCCTCCGCCCCTGCTACCTGATTGCCCGCTCTGTCTCCGTGCAGCCTACTGAGGCATGTACAGCTCATCCAGGCCCAGAAACATGTACGTCTGAAGGGATGCCGGGGATGTCCTGTTTGATAAAACATCTGCGTCAGTGAAAAACATTGAGCTCTGCTGCAGCCGTCACCGATGTTTTATCAAACAGGGCATCCCCAGCAACCCTTTAGATGGGCATGTTTCATGCCCTTCTCTGGATGCTCTTCAGAACGGTGTTAAACACCGGTGCCGGGAGCACGTGCCCCCCTCTGCCCCCCGCACTAGCCACTGCCAGGACACTCTGGGGGGGTTTGAACCCCCCTAATCTACGCCCCTGCCCCTGGGTTATCACGAGGACAGCAGGGACTATTTCTGGGATTGGCCTCACGCACCCATAAGGGTGTGGAATCGGCCACGTCACCGGTCACCATGGATGCGGCGGGGACTTGTCTATATCAGCCATTGGGTCTCACCCTGAACAGAAGGTCCCAGGATGGATTCCAGGCAAGGGTGTGAGAGCAAGCAGTACAGAGAGGTTCATAGAATACAGAGGGCAGGGTCCTGTAATGTGTCATGTACTCTAAGAGATTGATTTTACAGGCAAGACGAAATTTTGATTACTTGACCGTACATCACAGGACACAGGGAGTTAAATTCTTTACCCATGGGGACATTCAAAAGTAGTCCATCTGAGGAATGGGCATTTCAGCAAACAATGTCTAACAGGCCTAAGGAATATCAACCCCAACAGAGACACAAATAACTAGAAACAGAGACATGCCCAAAGTCAAAGGTTATCTGGATGTCCAATCCAACCAAAACTGGCATCTGCAACGGTGAACAGAGTCAGACTTGCAAAAAGCATCTGTCACAGAGAGGTAAACCCTAACTGCCGAAACTACGTCCAAACAGTGGAGGGAAATGTCTTTAGGTTGTTTTTGGTGCAGGACAAAAATTATGGCAAAATAATGTCCTGATTAATGTGGAAGGCAGACACCACCTTAGAGAGAAAGGAGGCCTTAGGCCTCAGCACAACTTTTTTTTTTTTTAACCATGTCAATTTTTATTAAGTATAAGGTAGTGCAAGCATGTTCAAATATCGGCATATACCACAGAGCAGGTACCCGTATGCAGACTGTACCTGAGAAATACAGACAGTAATACATACCAGTTAAAATAAAGGTAAAAACAACGTTATTTCACTGAAATTGCGCTACAACTATGTAGCATCTCCATTGAAAAACCAGAGGAGAAATGCAATCTCCTCATCCCCACTAACACCTGAGGAGAGCACATCCTCACAATCCCAGTTATGGGATGTGACAATGGCACGCACCCTGGCTTTACTAACAGGTCTACGGCCTTTCTTTTTTCCTTAAGGCATTAATTGATTTGGTCATGAGGACTGCACACCGCTCTTCCAAATCATTGGCCCAACTAGCAGTTGAACGAACACACTTTGAGACAACTGCTAGGTGGTCTTTTTTTTTAACAGAAATATTGTTTATGAATTTTTCACAGACAAGAAATTAAAACAACATACAAAGGCAGCATCAGGTGTGCATCTTCGAGGATAATAGCATAGCTGTAAGTAATAACAACCTGTAATGCGTCCCGGTAGGTTAGGAATGGGTTAGGATCACAACTGCGGATATATGTTTTCCAGGTGGGTGAGTAATGTGGCAGTCAGTCGTGAATCCCAGGTTTCACTCTCAATCAGAGGCGGAGAGTTTGGGATTCCTGCATCATGTGCCGTATAAACTAAGAATATAATAAAAGAACAGAAGCGAAGTTATTTAAGGTATAACCCCGATTATCTTCTAGCAGTAGTATAGGAAATTCTGGAGAGGCTATTTGCAAGTCTCAGCAAATGGGGAAGCAAGGCCGTTCCACTGGAGTCCCGGCTAATGAATCAGTCCAGCAAACGTATCACACAGTAAATAGCTGTATGCATTTAATCGAAGTATGCATGTTAATGAAGTCTATAGCCCACCAGCGCAATCTCAATAGTACCACAGTAGGAGCTAGTTAGTTTAGGCAGTCTTGGTACAGCAGGTAGCTATATCCCACAAGCATAGAATAGGTTCCAAGGCAAAGTAACACAAATGATATTCAATAGGAATAGTTCAGAGTGCTTGCGCTTTTCGGTGGTCAGACTTCCGAGGTCAAAGATTCCCCTTGAAGGAGGTAGTAGGGGTCCTTCCTGGGAGTGCTGTCTGTGGAGTCAGAATTGCAGCAGGTTCCTGACGTTTGTGGGGCGACAGAACCCAATAGTGGAACGCCATCTTCTTTTCCCTGCAGGCCGAAACCGGGGATCGTTACACAACCGTATCAGCAGTATATATGACATTGTGCCCAGATTCAAGCCGTGCCTCCGCCCAAAGTCCTGTCCCTGCCATGAGGGTCTCAGACTTCTAAGTCCCCCCGAGGGGGGACAACTTTATTGAGTCGAGCGAGGACCCGGGTCTTCAGCATCAGGCTAGAAACAAGAAATCCTGTGAAAGCCATGCTTCCCTAACCATCAGGTAAGTTGCCCCCACCTAGAGCCACCTTACAAAAACGACATAACAATTGACTCACAACAAGACAAGACAGGCAGACAATAGAGGGACACAAAGACAAAGAGAGACAAAGGGGAGAGAAAGAAGGGGAGAGAAGGAAGGTGGAGTAGAGGATTATTACGTGGTCAAGGAGAACAGATCATGCATTTATGTCATTGTCCTAAACTCATCCGTTTCCATAAACATTAGCCATGGCCTCCATCTGGACAGGAAGGACTCAGACCTGTCAAGCCGCTCAGCAATCAGCTCCTCAGATCTCATTAGACAGCACATTTCCGTGGTCCATTCCCCCAAGGATGGAATCACCTGAGAGTTCCAATGTCTTGGGATCAGTGCCCTAGCGGCATTTACAAAAAATCGCAAGAGGGATTTCTTTGCCTGGGAGATGGAACCCGGAAAAACTGACAGTATTGCCATTGGGGGCGTTCACTGGCAGACATTTTCGAATACACATGTGAGATGGTTCGCCAAACAGCGGCAATCAGGGGGCAGCTCCACCAGATATGTGTTAACGTACCAACACCCGTTTGGCACCTCCAACAAGTGTCCGGTAGGGAGGGAAAAATCTGGTGCATCCTAGCCGGAGCTCTGTATCATCTAGTCAAGAGTTTGTAATTGCGTTCCTGCACCGGTGAGGACATGCAGAGACTATGGGTGAAGCAGAAGCATTTCCGCCTATCCTCCTCGGAGAGTACCACATCCAATTCCCGCTCCCACTTCAGTACGGGGATCCCTCTTCGCCCCCAGAAAGTAGGAAATCATATAAAAATTATATAAGATGGGGTGTGGATTCGCCTGCTGCACATAGTTGTTCAAATGCAGTCAGGGGTCCTTGCATGGAGCCGTATGAGGAAAGTCTACGTACAAAGTGTTGAAGTTGGTGGTAGGCAAACCATGCATTTAACGGCACAGGAACTGGGGCAAAAAATTGGGCCAATGATTGGAGGGCTCCCCCGCAGAGTCCCTGAAAAATGTATGAAGGAGTCGTCACTTCCCAACTCAGGAACTTACGGACTCCACACCCAGAGGGAAACTCCGGATGGGCCAGAACAGGGTTCATCAAGCCCCGTTAAGTCGACAGTTTGTATTTGAGCCTTGTAGAATCCCATACTTTGAGCACTGGGGTGAGAAAAAAGGGTAACATAGAACTAGGCGGTCGTTGCTCGAGATTCATCCAAGTGAGGGGGGTATCCTCAACGGAGCTGTAAGACCATGCCTGGCCGCAGAGATACGACTGTGCATGCGCATAGGCCTATTTGACGAATTTGCGGGAAACGACGGCTATTGCGCATGCGCCAACGGAGGCCGGATGCGCGAAGTCGCGCTAACATGGGTCACAGGAAATGACTCACTCTGTCTGGGGATGATCCTATTTAAGCCGACCCAACTCCCAGAATCATTGCTGAGTGGTCTTTCAGCTTTAGTGTGTGTGTTCCTGTACCTTGCCTGTTGCTGTATTATTATCGACCCGGATTCCTTGACCTTGCCTGACTGCTGCCTGCCTCTGACTTCTGCTTGTCCCTGGATTCTCCTTTGCCTTCTCCTTTTGTACCTTGCCGCCCGATTTTTGCTGACCCTGGCTTGCCCGACTCCGCTCTGCTCCAGCCGCATCAACACCTGCTTCCTGCTTCACTGAAGACGGGCCTCAAGGACCTGCCCAGGCCCAGTGTCCTGCATCTTCAGGCACCGGTGCTGCCCGCTGTTCCCCCACCTCCTGTCTCCACATTCAGGGGTGTGGGACACGTGCTGCAAAGGAGGCCTCCTCACAACTCGGCTCTCCACCAGGTACGTGACAGTAGCACTCAGCCAAGATGTCGGAGGCCGAGAGGAGTGCCTCTCCGATGGAGCTTCTGTGCCAGCAAATAGCCTCCTTCACCCAAGTGGTGACGAGTTTGCAAGAAGGATTCTTTCAACTTGAAGGACGCATGACAACCATGGCATCTTCAATGCATACTCCCCAGGTGGCCGAACCGGCAGTCTCCACACCAGCACCCGACGTCTTCCTCATCTCCTGAACCCCGGGTGCCCACTCCAGAGTGGTTCACGGGAGACCGCAAGAAATTCTGTGCGTTTAGAAACGCCTGCCGTTTATATTTTGCCTTACTACCAAGAACATTTACGTCCGAAGTGACTAAAGTGGGGTTTGTCATCTCGCTACTCTCTGGAGAACCCCAATCATGGGCACATCACCTTCTGGAGAAAGAGAGTTCCGTGTTGAACTCCTTAAATTCCTTTTTTGAAGCCATGACCCAGTTATATGATGACCCCCAGCGTTCTGCAACGGCTGAAGCAGTCCTTCACTCCTTACAACCGGGCAATCGGCCTGTCGAGGACTTTGTTGCGGAATTTCGGAAACATTAAAGCATGAACTGGCTCGTGTGGAGGTTCCTGAGATTCTGGAAGAACTTATCCATGCCTCCATTAAACTTGATAGACGTTTTCGGGAAAGACGCATGGAGAGATCTGGGAACAACCGTTCGGCATGGGGTAATCCACGCATGCCGTTTGTACCTGCTTATTCCAGGGCGGAGATGCCAACTGAGCCCTCACCTTCAGAAGGGGAACCGATTCAACTAGGGCTGGTGCGAGCCCCCCTGTCTTCTGAGGAGAGACAACGCCGACGCCGCAATAACCTGTGCCTATATTGCAGGGAGCCTGGCTATTTCTTACGTGATTGCCCAGTTTGCCCAAGTAAGTGCTTCTCTTCCATCAGTACTCCTGGGTGTGGCATTAGAAATAGACTGTCTCACATCACTCTTCCACTCTCCTTACAGCTGACGGGAGGAAACGTCCAGGTGACGGCCATTATTGACTCGGGTGCATGCAGCTGCTTCATGGACTACTCTTACGCCCTACAGCATCAAATTCCTCTACGGGCCAAGTCACAGCTTCTGTTTATCCAGCTGGCGGATGGGTCGCATCCAAACTTGGGTCCAATTACCCAGGAGACCCTTCCCTTGCTTACCTCGACCTCCTTAGGTCACCAGGAGTATCTTAGTCTGGACGTGATTTCTTCACCTCTGTTTCCAGTAATTCTGGGTGTCCCGTGGCTACAGGCACATAACCCATGCATTGACTGGATCTCAGGAACAGTTAAATTTTCTTCCCACTACTGTGGTCTACATTGTACTCCCTCGAGGGTTCTCTTGGAAATACAATCAGATGTCTCTATTTCTTCTGTTCTTCCAGCGTATCATGATTTCCTCGATGTCTTCGATAAAGGACAAGCGGATACCCTTCCCCCTCATCACCCCTATGACTGTCCTATCGAATTGTTGCCAGGAGCTGCAATTCCGTTTGGCCGGGTGTACCCCCTGTCTAAACCTGAACTACAAACCCTGCGGGAGTATATTGAGGAGAACTTACATAAGGGGTTTATCCGGCCTTCCACTTCTCCGGCCGGGGCTGGAATATTTTTTGTTGAAAAAAAGGATTGCACACTTAGACCATGTATTGATTATCGTGCCCTCAACAAGAATACTATTAAGAACAGGTATCCTTTACCGCTTGTTCCTGAGCTTTTTCAGTGCTTCAGATCCGCTACGGTATTTTTCAAGTTGGACTTGCGTGGAGCCTACAATCTGGTGAGAATCCGTAAGGGAGATGAGTGGAAGACGGCGCTCCGTTCCCGTTTTGGGCACTTTGAGTACTCAGTAATGCCCTTCGGATTATGTAATGCTCTGGCAACTTTCCAGTATCTGGTCAATGACGTGTTCCGGGATTTTTTGGATCTGTTTATGATTGTGTATCTGGACAATATTCTGATCTTCTCCTCATCTCTGGAATCCCATCGG